GTGCCCCGTCTCAGCACCTGCTGAAGCTTGCGGGGCCTTTTTGAGGGTAGCCCCCAAGCTTTGAAAATCAGTGCCCCTGGAGAGCCTGGCCTGTTTTCCTCCCAGCTTCTCTTTAGGGGCCAGTGTACAGCAAGCTGCGGGCCGGGATTGAGGGCTAAGGGTGCAGGTATTTACACTCACAAGCCCCAGTACACCGGACATTTTTCTTTCTTAACATGCACCAGAGTAAGCCCAGAATGTTCAAGGTGTTTTTGATTCTGCTGCTAACTTTTTCCGGGGTGCTACAGGTGACAATATAGTGAGTCCTCAACAGACAAAACCATGGTGTAAAAAAGATTTAAATGCAGTCATTGACTTTATCTCCAGATAGTTCCCCATGGCTCATGGTGCTTTTGTTTCCTGCCCTGAGAACTCGTGATGAAGAAGGCTGCAAGTGATTAAGGAACGAGAAGGACTAGGAACCATTTGAATGAGCAGCATCATAATCTGAGACTTGGTCTGATGGCACCCCTTGAATGTGTGAGAGCAAATTTTAATACTTGGGGTTAAGGGTACAGGGCGCAGTGGTTCAGAGTTTATACCTTGCCTGCACCTCGGCTACGTGACCCGAATATGGAGCGGGAAAGGAAGCACTTGAGGGGATCTGAGAGAGATGCTTTAACCGTGAATTGGTGACCTGCACAAACGGCAAAGGGTGGCCCTGGCGGCCTTCTTGGCCCGTTCCAAGGCTATTTTGCGATGATTCTGGCCAGGAGCGGCAGTTTCTGATTGCGGCAGAGCAGAACAGATGCAGCAGCCTCTTGCTTCCTTGCGTTTGTAGGGAAAAGCCATCTTCGTTGAAGTTTTAGAACTGTGTGGATTTAATTCAGCCCCATGGATTGATGGGGCGATTCCTCGACTTAAAACCCTTCATTTGGCGACAGGCGTCCTGCCGGAGGCGTGCGTGGCGGGGAGACTGGGGGCTTGTGGCCGCCAGCAGGTCTCACCGTGTGCAGAGCACTGGGAATCAGCCACGCACGGGGTCAGTGGCAGGTTCTGCTTTATCCAGCAACTGGCCGCTTGGCCTCCTCTCCCAGCGGACTCCGCCGGGCGCAGAGTCCACGAGGTCAGTGCCGGGGGTCACCGTGCGAGCGTCTGATCGGTCCGTGCCGCCCGCTCGCCCCTGGGTTATGTAATCACTCGTAATGGGCAGCACGGATTTCGCTCGGCGTTGGATCCATTCCAGGGCAGAGAGCAAGGCGGTGGGGCCGAAGCGCATCACGCATGAAGGAGGCAGTGCCGCGGCCACGCACCTGTGTGTGTGCTGCGGGGACCAGCCGCGTTCCTGCCGGTTTACGGCTCTCGGGGGGCAGCTGACGAAGGGGCCCCGGCGGAAGGCCTGGCCAAGACCCCTGCTGCCGGCCGGAGCCCAGTCCAGGTTGGCGCTCTGAGTCCGTACGGGGCAGATTCCTGCTATCTCACGTATCGGTGTATCTCCTGCCACCTTCATTGTGGCCTCTGTGCATTACACATTATGGGTGCTGCGCCTGTGCAGTGTCTGTGGCCGCTTCCTCACAAGGAGCCCGGGGTGGCTGACCCACTTAAAAGCAAGAGGACACACACACACACACACACACACACACACACACACACACACACAGATAGAGTTTAAATAGCAGCCCAAAATTGCTTCAGCTACATTTCTAATCCACCTGATAGCCAGTGTTCTCTGGGTGAATTATGAAGTCTAAGATGGAAGGTACATGGTAAAATAAAACACAGTCCTCACACTAGAACCGGAAAAGGTTCTTCACTCAGCTTCACTTCACTTTAGGGGATCAATCGGGCTTTAACTGGTGCTGAAGGCCAGCGGTGTGTGGGAGCCAGGGTGCTCCCACCGAGAAGGCCCTGCAGGCATGGTGGCTGCACAGGCCACGTTCGGAGCGGAATTCCGATCTTACCCCGGGCCCTGGTGACATGGCAGGATCCAGGAAAATGGTGGACTTTCCCCACTTTAAACAAAGGCCGTGCAAGTGGCTGGCCGGCACAGGAGAGACCCCGAAGGATGGCGCTGGAGCGAAACCGTCTCACAAACAGTGAGGGATCGCGAGCGCGCAATGAATGCCTTGTGTGGAGAAGCCCCCAGTCCGCCCCGCGGCCCGTCTGGGAGAGTCCAGGGCGGAGGACAAGGTCCCAGCCGCTTTCACCTGGAGTCCTTTCTGGCAGTTCTGTGCTGCCCCATAAGTCACCCCCCACACAATTATAATGCAGTAGCATAATATGAACACCGTTGCCATGCAGAAACGTAAAGCAGTTTTCAACAGCCAAGCCCGAAAACTCCAGGACCCGCCGAACGTGGCGCCCTGCCTGGGTCTGCTAGGGAGCTGCGGAGAGCTGAGGGCAGTGCGAGGAGAGCGCTGCGGGGGCGGCAGGCTGTGCCGGAGAGTTTTCTGCAGGCCTCGGTCTTGGGGCCATTCTGCAAACCCCCCTTGGAGCTGGGCCCCGGGCGGACAGATCTCGGCCCCTCCAGCCATGTGGCAGACCTGCCCCTCCTGAGAGAGGTCCCTGCTCATCCCCTTGGCTTCCTCGGGGCAGCCGCCCTCTCCAGGTGCTCCGGGGGCGTTCCTGCCTCCTCTTGGCCGCTGCTGCCCGGGCTCTGAGTTGGCTGCCTGCCCTGGCTGCCTGGCCTCAGAGAGCAGCCCGGTGGGAACGCTGCCAGCTCAGTGCTTGTCTGGCTGGCAGCCCCGATCCGGCAGTGTTGCCAGCAGCATTCTTGGGCGGGGGGGGGTGGACGAGGCGCCAGGCCTGGGAGGAAGCCAAGATGGGCAGGGCGGGAGCGCTCGCTGCCACCACCAGCCTCGGGGCTGCGCGATCCGAGGGCGGGCGCCTTCTCCCTCCTGGCCGGGGAAAGCCCGCTAAAGCCCCAGCAGCAGGAAGCCGGGTGGCGGTGGAGCTGGGCATGCCGAGAGCGGCTGGTGGGGGCTGCGGCACACGGCACCTGGGAGGAGGCAGGTCATGGGCGGCTTGCCGTCTGACCTGTCACCAGTGAGGACAGGGACCTGTCTGTTACACGCAGCCACCCCTGGGAATGCCGGGTCTGAGCCCCACAGCCGGCAGCCTTGCGTGGAGGAAGGGTTTCAGGTTGGAGTCAGTGCAGCGTAGGGCCACAAGGTTGGTGGCCGGTTTGCAGGGGAGGCCGTATGAGGCGAGACTGAGGGAACTGGGTCTCTTCAGCCTGGAGGAGAGGAGACTCAGAGGGGATCTGTGGTGACATGCAGGTATGTGAGGGGGTGTCACACAGAGTTGGGGAGAGACCTATTCTCCCCTGCAGAGGAAGGCAGAATGCGCTGCAACGGAGCCAAGCTCAGGGAACCAAGGTTCAATTTAGATGCTAGGAAGCACTTCCTGACAGTCAGGACCCCGAGGGTGTGGACTGGGCTTCCTTGGGAGGTGGTTGAGGCCCCATCGGTGAGGGTGTTCAAGGATAGGCTGGACGTCCACATGGTGGGCATGTCCTGAGCGGAGCCGGCTAGAGCCGAAGGTCAGACTAGATGGCCCGGGAGACCCCTTCTGACTCGCTCTGTTTTCTATGTTTCTAAGTCAAATGTGTCCCCTGCAGAGGAAGGCAGGACATGCTCCAACGGAGCAAAGTGCAGGGAACCCAGGTTCCATTTGGAAGCCAGGAAGCATTTCCTGACAGTTGGGACCCCGAGGGTATGGAATTGGCTTCCACGGGAGGTGGTTGAGGCCCCATCGGTGCGGGTGTTCAAGGATAGGCTGGACATGCACATGGTGGGCATGTCGTGAGCGGAGCTGACTGGTGCCGGAGGTCAGACTAGATGGCCCGGGAGGCCCCTCCTGACTCGCTCTGTTTCTATGTTTTCACCTCAGGCAAAGAGGGAGGCGCAAGATCCGCCCCTTCGCAGAAGTTTGCTTTTTGCAGCTGCCAAATGTCTGATCACCCCAGTCCTGGTCTGGCCTGGTGCCTGCGGAGGAGCTGGATTGCCGCAGCCAGGCTGGAGAAGGGGGGCTCTGCCAGGTGCGGCACACCTGGAAACAGGTGGAAGTCGGCTGCTTCTGCTTGGAGGGCTGCTCGAGCGGCTGATGCGGAAGCGCTCTGGGCCTCTTCACGCTTTCCTGCTCCATGGATTTTCTGCAGCGAGAGGGAAGTGGTGGGGAAGCGCCGGAGCGCAGCAAAGGGGAGGTGGTCCTCGTCCGAGCCCCTCGTGCTTCTCTCCCCTCGAAGGCAAGCTGGATGTAGCCGCAGCCTGAGGCCAGAGAGCAGGCAGGATGGTGGATCGAGGCCCTTCGTAGTGAGTGGAATTGAGAGGGGAGAGTCTGACGGCTACAGATGGGGAAGCGCAACCTTCCCACCCCTGCCAGCGGCATGAGCTCACTCACATCCTGCAAAGTGGGAGGCCGGGTCTGTTGGTGCCTTTGAAAGAACAGGAGGAGGAGGTGCTTGCGCACAGCGCCCATCCCAATCCCGCATCTCCCCAAAGCTGAATTTGCCTTTCATGTGGACATCAAGGCTGGATGCGCACATGGTCGGCATGTCATGAGCGGAGCCGGCTGGAGCCGGGGGTCAGACTAGATGGCCCGGGAGGCCCCTTCTGGCTCGCTCTGTTTTTAAGGGCATCCAGAGAATTGGAGCATCTGCTTTTTTGGCCAGTCGTGGGGGAGAAACAGTGAAACCCTCATCACTGGGAATCAGTTCCATCTGCAGGACCGGCAGGCGCAGTCCACCCCTCTTCCAAGCTCCTTTTGCAGCCTTAAGCACTAGAAACTTGTATTTTGTAAACGGAAAGCGGGGGTTGGCCAAATGCCGGATCTCTGCCCAGGCTGCTGGCCTCTTGGGTGTGCCTGGAGTGCCTGTGGCGGCTCTGGGGCTGGACCACCAAATGGCCACCTGGAAGCGGTGCCCTGTGGGCGGCCCACGCTCCTGGCCGTTCTCCGGTTGGGTCCAGCCCGGCTCTTGCCACTGAAATGCTTCCACGAAGAGCCCCCTGTCCAGAGGAGAGATGGACGCCTTCAGCCGGTGGTATTCGGCTGCAGAGCATCAGGCCTTCAGTCGGAAGACCCCTCCCTGGGTCTTGCTGAGGAGGGGCAGGAAGGCACAAACTGGGGAAGCGGAGAGGGGCCCTGCCCTCCCCCGCCCTCCCCATCAATTCTCCTCTGCTGCAGCCTGGATAATAGAGGTCAGAGGTCAGGAGGTGGCCCTCCCCTCTGGCTAATTGCCCTGCTGCGGGGGAGGGGGCGGGGAGGCGAGGAAATCCCTACAGGTGTCCGCCCAGGCTCAACGGAGATCACGGGGGGGGGGGGGGGGAGGGGGGGGCCCCCAAAAATTTTTATTCCCCCCCCCCCCCCGGGCAAAGGTGAGAGGTCGCTGCTGGGAAGGGCCGGAGCGGCTGCCAGGGCTCCCTGGGGCGCTGAGCGGCTCTCCTCTTTCGGCCGGGGTGGAAGAGCTGGCGGTGCAGACGGGGCGCCTTCAGATCTCGTGCCCGGCTTGTGTGCGTGGGGGCAAGGATGAGGCGCTCCGCTGGCCCCCCCCCCGGGTCCTGCCAGGGCGGCAGGAGGAGACGGCAAAGGAGGAAGGCGCTTTGGGGGGGGGCGGCTCTCCCCTCCTGGAAGGGGGAGGGAGAAGCCCCCTTTTCGTTGAAGGGAAGGCTCCCTCGGTGGAGCTAACGGGTGCCCCTGCTTGGGAGCAGATCAACCAGCCTGTTTTCCTGCAGAATCCCCTGCTGGGAAGAGGATTTGCAGGCCTGTGTTCAGCTCTTGGCTCAGAAGCTGCAAACAGCACATTCGGGGGTCACCAGTGGAACTCCCACCGCTGGGGCGGGGGGGGGGGGGGCTGAAGCTCCTGGATGCAAGCACTTTGAAGGTGGCAGTGAGCTCCATGGGGCCAGAGAGTCATGGGGGACTGGAGGCGAGGCGGAGAAGCCCCTTGAAACCGGCAGAGGGTTCGGCGGGCCTGGGAGGATTCGGGCGGGAGTCCAGCTGCTGGGCTGTCCGGAGAGCAGCCCTCCCTGGCCTGCTGGGCTTGGAAACTGCTGATGGCATCAGGTGGAGAGAGAGCTTGTATCCCGCACGGCAACAACAGCCCACACAGGTGCCGCTGTGGCAGGAGGAAGTGGAGAGGCGCAGAAGGCACCCGTGTCTCCTCTTTTGCGTGGTGTGTTCTGCAAAGCTGCCTCGTTTGCACCCGGCATTCTGGTGTAAAGCAGTGGTTCCAGTGGGGGGGCCAAGCCCCGTCCCTCCTGACCCCTCGCCATCTTGGACCTCATTTTCTGGATTTCTGAGATGTTAATAGTTTCTCACTTGGAGACTTGGAAATGTACCTTCCAGCCATAAGGCCTAGAAACTAGATTCTGTACCCACCCAAAGAACTCTGCACTTGGCCAGATTCTGTGCCCAGAAGCACAGCATGTCACCAGCTTATCCCCTCAGAGTCTCCTCTTCTCCAGGCTGAAGAGACCCAGTTCCCTCAGTCTCGCCTCATACGGCATCCCCTGCAAACCGGCCACCAACCTTGTGGCCCTGCGCTGCACTGACTCCAGCCTGGCTGTATCCTTTCTGTAATGAGGGACCCAAAACTGAACACAATACTCCAGTTGCAGGCGCACCAGAGTCACATAGAGTGGCAGTGATACCTCTCTTGATCTAGAAGCCACACTTCTGGCTCTGCAACCAAGGGTGGCGTTCGCCCTCTTGGCTGCCGCATCACACGGCTGACTCATGTTCAGCCTGCAGTCGACCAGCACCCCGAGGTCCCTTTCACAAGCGCTGCTCTCCAGCCACTTGTCCCCTGACCTGTACTTGTGACACCCATTCCTATGCCCCAAGTGCAAGACCTTGCACTTACCCACACTGAACACCATCCTGTTGTCTCCTGCCCACTTCCATAGTCTGTCCAGATCCTTTTGCACCCGCAGCCTGGCTAAGCCTTCCCTCGCTCTTTCCCCCCTGCAGCTCTACGAACTGGACAGTGACCCCAAGCGGAAGGAGTTCCTGGACGACCTGTTTGGCTTCATGCAGAAGAGAGGTGAGTGAGCGAGCCCAAGCGGGGAGCAAGGAGAGCCACGGGCGGGGCTGAGCGGGGCTGCCGGGGGGCCTCGGGCCGCTGCCCCTGCCCGCCACATGCGGCCGCTCTCTGGGCAAGCTGGCCTGCCGGGAAGGGCGTCTGTGTCGGTGGCCCAACTGGAGGTGGTCTCGGCAGACGTGGGCCTTCTAGGGTGCGGGGGCGACCCTCAGCCGGCCTCGTGCCAGAGGGTCAGTGGCCGGAGCGTCCTGGCGCTGGGGAGCCAAGGAGCCCAGACGCCCATGGTCCATTCTTCTGCAGAACTGAAGTGGTGCGGGGGGGGGGAGACTGGACCTTTGTGGGGCCCACGGGTCCTCTGGGGTGCTGTGAAATGGCCCCGTTTCAGGGAGAATGGCGTAGGGCCCGCATTTTTCTCCCTCCAGCCAGGGGAGGAGAGAGAGAAGGTTGCGTGCTTGGGGCCCCCCCCCCCCGCGAGGAGCTGTGCACCGCACCCCCAGTGCTGCAAGCCAGACCCTGCATCTGCCCGGTTCCATTGCCCGGGCTCATCCCCCCACCCCCGGGAGAAGGGGGCATTTGCTTTCTCTGTGCCCCAGCCCGCCTCTCCTCTCCTCCACACAGGGCACGGAGGACTTAGCTTTGCAGCTGGGAACCAGGAGAGCTGTGCCTGGGGGGCAGCCCGGGAAACTGCGGGCGCACAGCGCTGTGGGGCCCCTGCCCCTGCCCGGACCGCCGGGTCGCTCGCCCTGCCTTCACCACGCTGGGAGCGTGCACGCAGGAGGGAAGGGCGGCCCGCGGGAGCGCTCTCTTCCTGTCCGCGTTTAAGGTGGCCTTCCCCAGCCCTGGCACCCTCCAGAGGTGCTCGGGGGGGGGGTCTTTGTAGCCACCCACCGGGAGGCCCCCTGGGCGGGCAGAGGCACGTCCTGGGTGACCCCACGGTGAACACGAAGAGCCCCGCAAAGGGCGGCGGCCGGCATCTTTCCCCTGCCGCGTGGGTCTCTGCAGCATTCCTGCCTCGCCCCCCCACCCCATCAGCCTCCCCTCCCAGTTAATTAGTGCAACATTAACCTCTGCCTGGGGTTTTATTTCCTATTGAGCGGCATGTTCATTAATCCCAGCACTGGCAAAGGGCTCTAATTGATGGCGGCCCCCGGACAGCGCTGGCTGCAGTTTGGGAAGCTTTTGAAAATTGTTCCGTGGCTCGAAGGGGGATCGGGAGGGAGAGGTCAAAGGTTAAAGCATTTATCGAATCGCCTCAATTGCTGGAGCTTCCTATTTCTCCCGCCTGGCCCTGATAACAAAACCCCGCACCGATTTCCGATGCCGCAGCCGCTGTCCGTCAAGGGCTGCACATGACCCGCTGGTGCTCCGGGGCGGGCGGAAGGCATCGCCCCCGAGGCCCACCGTGGGCAGAGAAGCCCCCCACTGCCTGTGCCCCATTTGGCTCCAGCGCCAGGGCTCAGCCCGGGACGTCGTGGAGCGAGAGGAAAAGCTCGAGGATTTTTCCCGGTGCTCCGGGCCTCTGTGTTTTGGTGCCACGCTTTGCTCGAGTCGGTGAGCTCAAGGGCAGGGGACAGAGATGGTGGGCAGCCCTCTTTGGAAGGGGCTGGGGGCCGCTTGGCGTCCCCCTCCAGCTGCAAGGGCTGCTTGCCACTGGACCGCCACGTTTGGTGGCAACCTCTGCTGAGTCCTGCATGCGGTGCTCAGAGGGGAGGTGTCCGTAGTGCGCCGTCCCTGACGGGCCTGTCACAGGTGTCCTTGGATGCGCATCTCTCCCTGCCGCCGGGGCCTGCAGGACCGAGGCGGCTGGAGAGGGCCGCCCCACGCCTGGAGCCGCTGCCCTGCCGGATGCGCCCCCGTGCCAGCCACCCCGATGGAGAGGCGCACTGTGCAAGAGCAGAGGGAGGCCTGGCACCTGCCTGCGTGCACCGTGGGGCTGCTCCTGGAGAGCCTGGGGTGCTCCAGGCGAGGAGTGGGCGTTCCAGAGGGCCTGCAGTGCCCGGGGCCGGTGCCGAAGGTGGGCCCGGTGGGCACGCGCCAAGGCCTGCCCCCGGTCGTGCCCCCCGCAGGCACCCTCGGCCTGCCCCCCTCCGCACTGCTGCAGGCGGCTGGTTCTCCTGCTCCTGCTCCGGCCCAGGCCACGGTGGAAGTGCAGAGGGGGACGGGGGGCACTGCAGCCGCAGGCAGGGGCCGTGGGGAGCGGGAGCGGCGGCGTGGTGTGTGGCAGGGAGAAGGCCAGCCTCCTGGGGTGTCCCGGCCAGGGCCCCCCGAAGCTGCCTCCCCTGCAGTCTCCTCCGGTGTGCCCCTTTCCTGCCCCAGTGGTCGCCCCTGCACGGTGCCTTGGCTGCCCGCAGCTGAGCCTGCGGCCCCCCCCGCCCCCCCACGGATTTCCGCAGCCCCCCCCCGCTCTGTGTGACATGCCTGCCCTGCTCTGGGGTCCCCGAAAACCCCCCTCTCCGAGGCCCGAACCTCTACTCCTGGCTGCCCCGAGGTCTCCCCACACGAGCCCCCTGCCTTGCAGCATCTCCTGGGGGCACTGTGCAGGCTCCCCGCAGACGGATCACACAAGCAAGCCAAGCTGCATGCTCCTCCCACCCAGCCCCAAACCCAGGCAGTGCATCCCAGTGAATGCACCAAGCGCCCCCTTGCAGTGTGGCCATGGGGGGGGGCATCCTGCCCGTAGAGCAGATCGGGTTGATCCCTGCCTCGACCTGCCTGCGGCATCTCCCAAAGGAAGCCGGGTCTTGCCCCATTGGCAGGCGGCGGCGGTGCTGTGGGCCCCGAGATGGCCGGCCCGGCGAGGACAAAGCCACCTCCGACCCCCTCGCTCTGACACAAGATTCATGGAAGCTCTGCTGACAGCGAGAGCGAGAGCGAGCGGCCCTCATTATTCTAGCTGAGCTAATTAACTGGCTCTCTCCTGGCTGAGATAAGGGTGCTAATTAACAGCCATTCTCCTTGGCTGTACATCTGTCCTGGAGGGCCTTTGTGAGGATCGACTCCCCCGGGGTGGGAGGGGTGCGGGGCGGGCTGCTTCCCCAAGGAGCGCTGGGCTGGTCGATGCCCATAAATCCAGCGCGGGGAGATAAGGGCCAGGGTGCGCGGCCCCTTCCCTGCCCGGAGCATCGATCCCAGGGAGGGGATAAATAACCCAAGTCGTGGGGCTTCCTGGCTGGCATTAATCTGCTGCTGGTCCCCGGATGACGCGGATCACCTGCGGCCGTCTGCGTCTCCATTAGGGCCTGCTCGCAGAAGCGGGGAGGCCGGGAGGCGGCATTTCCTGGCACGTGACGGAGGGGCGTCTCCGCGATGCAGGGAGGCGGCGTAGCCCGGGCTTCCTCCCAGCTGGCGGGGGCGCTCGGCCGTTTGGGAAGCACCTGGCACCTGCTCGGGGGAGGCTGGGGCAGCCTGCGGTTGGGGGGCCGATCTTCCCCGGCATGAGCCCTCCTGGCGCCACTGTGTCCCGCAGTGGGTGTCCGCTGCTGAGCATTTCGGAGCGGCTGAGTGGGGTCCACCCTTAGCTGCCTCCGGAGGCTCTCTGGACAGGGAGAGAGAATGAGAGAGAGAACTTCTGTGACGTTAAAATAATTAGAAGAGCAAATCTGCACAGATTTTCCGCTCAAGCCAAGCCTGGAATTGGGTGCCTGCCCCGCTCGGCCGGCCTCGAGGCGGGAGTCAGAGCTGTTTGCGCCTCCCCAGAAGGAGCGGTGAAGAAGGCTGAGCGTTTGCAAAGGAGGGATGATTCCTGCAGCTTGTCCTGCAGAGGTGGTAGAACTGAAGTCCCATCATCCTTGGCTAGCACGTGCAGCAGCCCAGAGTGCTGGGAGTTACAGTCCATACACCTTGTGAGCATGAGGTTGGAGAAGGCAGTGGGAAAGATCATGCTGCGAAAGCCACCTAGCGTGGTGACCCACAACTTAGCTTTACAACAACCCTGTAAAGTAGGCCAGTGCAGTGTCCTCCCCAAATGGCAGCTGGGGAGAGGCCCGCCTAGAGGCACCTCAGAGGCATAATTTCATTGCCTTTCGTACCGTGCATATTACAGTGGTGCCTCGGCTCACGAACTCAATCCGTTCCAGGACTCTGGTCGTGACCCAAACTGGTCGTGAACCAAATCAAATTTCCCCAGAAGGTTCCGTGTAAAGAAGGTTCATCCGTTCTGTAACCATTTTTTTTAATCCGAAAAATGTGAAGTCAAGTGGCAAAGAACAACAGAGATCACGGCCATCTCCCCCCACCCCCCAAGCAGGAGCAGGAGCGCAGCCAGCCCCTCGCGCCGTCATCCGGAGCGCACTGGAGGGGAGAGATGGGTGTGAACAGGGGCATGCTGGGGGGGGGGGGGAAGGGGGGGGACCGGGTTGGGGGGGGGGAGACAGCTGAGATCGCGGTTGCGCTCGTGCAGAAGGGTGGGTGCAAGAACGGGCGTGCTCCTGCAGAAAAGACAGGGGCGATCGCGGCCCTCTCCCCACCGCCCCCAGCACCATCGCGGCCCTCTCCCCACTTGGGGGGTGGGGTGGGGAGAGGGCTGCGATCGCGGCCGTCACCCAATGTGGAGTTTGCGACCTAGGTAAAATTTGTAATGAAATTTTTATCCGCGACCCAGTTTGGCCGTGAACTGAACTGAGGCGTTCGTGAGCCGAGGTCCCGCTGTGCTCGGTGCCGCGGCTCCCTGGGCGATGTTCGCCTGCTTTCCCTTGTGCACATTTGAACTGTGGCCACGATCCGCTGCACGCAGGCCTGTCTTGGTGTGAAACAGAGCAGACGAGATCGTCCCTCCGCGTCGGAGGCACTGCAAAACACTGGGCTGAAGGAAGGCTGGCAGACGCTGCGGCGGTGTGGTGGCCCGGGGCTCTGCCCTGGGATTTGGCTGCAGGGACTTCGGCCGTGCCCAGAGCCCCCCGCTTCCTCCAGAGCGCCTCCGTTCGCACACACCGGCCCTGAGCAGCAGCTCTGAATTCCTTCTGCCCACGGGTGGCGCACTGAGGCTGGACGGGGAGCTTCTTGCG